GTCTTATTCATAAACATTGTGGGGTTTGCACATACATTGTGTTTTATACAGTATTTCATTTACATTATAAATCATGCAATCTTCATATACAATAACAGACAATGGGGTTTCATGTGGACCATTTCAATTGTTCTTGTATCAGAACTCTGGAAATCTAATTCTTCCACAGGCCCTTTCAATGGCTGGAGACAATGTGGCATACAGACAGGGGACAGAAATGACAGAGTCTATTGTACCCAACCCTGAAGTCTCAGCAAAACCTTTTGGTTCTTAATTTCTTCACCTATAAAGTAAGAGATTCCAATATCATTTAACAATCTTATCAGAGATCTTCAATGCAGACTTCACTTTTTTTCTTAAGCAATAGGAACTATTCAATAAATTATTATGACCCCACAAATGTAATAGATGCTTTGCAAAGAAGACGACTTGTGGGAAAGACTGCTCTGACCCCCTAAGGCTTCCTCCCTCCTCTTCTCAAGGCCCAATTCCAACTATACCAACACTTTGGATTGGCAGTGCAATTGCTTACCTCTAGGCCACCAGATTATACCAACATTCTGAAGGGCACAGGATGGGGCATCTCCCAGCCCTACTTCCGGCCAACATTTCCACCCGGGGTTCTGGAAGCTGGAGAACTCTCTGACCCCTGCTCCTCTGACTCCCTCTGAGTCCAGCCACTTTCCCTTCCTGACATTTCTTCTGTCTTGAACCTGAGCTCTCTGTGGCTGTGAGTACCTGATGTTGTATACCAATTACCTATAGTACCCTGCGAACTCAGTATTGGACACAACTTGAAATATACTTTCACTAAGAGCTAAGTTCATAGCAAAATCACGGGTAAATCTTTTTTTTTAATTTGGGGAATAGTTCCATTCCACAGGCACCTATATTTTTCATTAGAGCAAACAGTATATGATTATTAGAGCTGTGGTCATGAAATACAAGGAGCAATAAACTGTAATTATGAATGGGAAGAATATGAAAAATCGAAGGAGGGAAATCTTATAAAACGGTAATCTATAGGAAACTGAAAACTAATATTCCTGTAAGAACCTAAGTGATACAAGTGTGAAGCACTTAACTGCTAAGCAAGGGTGACCCTTCCATCCCATTCTTCTATCTGTTCCCATATAGATTACATCCTAGAAAACGCCATGACATTTAAGACACAACTTTGTCTGGAACAAAGAAAAGTGAAGGATATTAAAAACTCAAGGAAGAAGCAGGTTCATAGCCTTTTTCAGTAAGAGATCAAATGAACGAGATGATACCCATCTACCACTGACTACTCTGACCAGAGATACAATTAGAAGGGGAGAAAAATATGAAACAAACCTCAAATTCATAACAAAGACCAGAGTTACTGGACAGAGATTGAAGGGATCCCCAAGACTATCACCCAAAGATAATTCAAACTTGAGGTCACTTTTCAGGCAAGTAGCAGACTGACTTATAAAAGAAACAATTCCCTTGAGGACTGAGCTCCCTCAACAATGAGCTATACCAGACTCAAAGTCAACATTTACACCAAAGCCGGGATGAGAAAGCAAGGAAGGGCACGTATAGAAACTAGGCAGGCAGAATGTGTGTATGAATTATTGAATGGGAATCTTGTCCACTGTGTAAACAGAGTAAAACTGTAAAAAGAAAGAAGACTCTTTCTTTTTTTTAAGGTAAAACAGTAAAAAGATAAATTTATCAGAAAGTTACAGCCCCCAAAAGGCCCAACCTCCTTCTTTAAAAAACAAAACCAAAATAAGACTAGTTTTAAAAAAGGAAACTTTACAAAATATTTAAGAAATATTAAGAAAGAAACAAAAGGAAAGGCTCTGGGCCAGTACTGATCTGTCTCATGGGATCCTGATAAGTCAAAGCACATTCAACAGTACCTAACAATCACAATATTTCTCCATCTAAACTGTATTTCAGGAAAGAGATCAACTCTTATTACAACTGGATTTCAAATACTGCAAATAAAAAAAGATAAAAAGCTATTCTTCCATCTGATGGGTGAAATAATCTATTTATAAGCAAAGACTATAAAATTGTGCATGGTATCTAGAATGACACTTTTTTTGGTATGAAATATCTAAGAGCACTGTTAGAGTATCTATAGATGCTAAAAAAAATTTCAAAAAAGATACAAATTCTCTCACTCCCACCCATTCTCCCCTTGGCTTTATCATTTTAGCTTTTCAAAAATCAAAATGCAAATGTGTTTGTTGGTTCTTAAAATTAAAAATCAACTCTCTTCCCTATTTAACAATCCACAAATCTTCCTATCTAGAGTCACCTAATCTCAGCAAAAGAAAAAATAAATTATCAAGGTTCCTAAACATCCCATTCCCTCAAAAATTAATCTTATTCAAAATCCTATTTCTCCTTCCTTCATCTAAAATAAGCTTCCCCTCAGTTCTGTGGTATCTACATCTGTTCTCACTTGTTTTAAGAGGAGTAACAAGTAGGAAGAGAAAAGGGGGGAGAAGCTCTTACCAAATCCAATCTCTTGCCTTATTTTTATCAGTCAATTGATTTAGGTATAATTTTTTTTGTTATTTTCAAGCATAACAGGATTGTCTGCACTGAAGACCTTTTTCTAAAAACTGACTACAGAACAGCGTTATCTCCCTTCATATTAAAGCACTATATATGAGTGAACAGCTATTTGTTACAGAAACTGCACTAGCAACGAGTTAATCTTGCTTCGGAACTACCCAAGACCCTACTCAAGAGTCACAGTGCTTCTCAATCAGTTAGAAGGATTACTGGAACATGTCATCTCAAATCCCCAATAATCTCAATATTTGGAAATATCTATGGAAAATTCTACTTTTAAACCTGAGTGTAGAACAGATGAAGGAATGTGAACGTTAAAGTCACAAAATCTTCCTTTCAATCATGTTTCCATATTCCCCCTTGCTAGCTTAGAACATATATTCTTATAACAGACACAGTATCCTTTGGTGTAATGTGTCTTTCCAATCCAGGCCTCGAGCTGCATTAATATTGACATGCGTATTGACTATGACTTGTTAAATCCTCCGAGTGTAACAGTTACTGCACATATTAAAGGAATAAAGAACTCCCTGGGGGAAATGAGTAAGCCTAACATATGTGTTTGTAATAATGTTAGAACAGTTCTACAATAAGGTTGACATTTTACTTTTCAAAATTGCATGAAATTTACACTGTCAGCTCTAAGGCTTTCCTAAAACAACCACAACAACAAAAGAAAATCAACAAACAGCCAAATGAACATAAATGTTTGTTAGGAAAAATTTAAACACTTAACAGTAAATATCCTTACTGCCCTATGTGTGCAGCCCCTGAAGAACAATACAGATTCCAGGGTCTCCCACAGTTTCCTCAAACTACTCCAATATGATAAAGACACACTTCACTTCACTTCATGCTGGCAAGTGAAATTTACAGTGAATACTTCCAAAGTACTCTTCACAGTGGCAGTAAACACATGCCAGTAAAATCACTCAGCCTTCTTAAAATAGTCCTGGGTAGCCAGACCTACCTACATTCTCATTCTAAAAAATAATCTGCTATTTTGCTTTTGTGGCCGGTTAAATCAGGAAGAGATAATAATTAAGTGTGGCAAAGCCACACTGCCAGGTTGGGGGTAAATGATTAACATTCACAGAACACTGTGTCCAATTACTCAATTATAAGACAGGTGAAATGCTGGACTTGATCAATCTTGCAGCCCTTTTCACTGGCCCCGCTTGCAGTCAATTCAACAGCATCATTACTCATTTCCTCCTTGTTCTTGGACATTAGCAATGTACTAACTTGAGAGTGAAACAATAAATTCTGAATTTAAAAAAATATATAATTATTTCTTGGCTTATATATCTGGATATGGAACCAACAGTGTTGTAATTTTAAAACTTTTAAAAGATCTGTGGTTTGGAATCTCACTATTACAGCTGAAGAGTTCTCCTGGCCACTAGTCAGGCAGCCATACTCTTTTGGGGGGGAGGACACAGGTCCAGTGGAAATATGAATGGTCAATGTTACTTCCCAGTCCTTAGCTAGTCTGAATAACACCTTCACCTCCAGGGCACAGGAAAAGTAATCTTTAATTCCATGTGCAATGCATGTACAATCAAAAATGGAAGGAAATATTTTTTCTCCCTGGAAGTATATCTTGGGACAGTATACACCTCCAAAGTAAACTTAAGGTTTTTTGCCTG